CCCGGAGCAGCTCCTTCAGTCCATGGCAGGCTGGTGCACCCGGGTGGAGGAGCAGCTGCTCTGGGATGATCAAAGGGTCAGTCCTGTGACTACTGCAGCTCTGGAATATGAGACCGACTTTCCCACCAATGTCAGCAAGCCACGCCAGGGAGCATTTGCCTCTTCCACCATTGGTCTTATTTTCCAGTTCCAGCTCACATGGCTCTACTCAAGGTAAGGTTTGCGCTCAGCCAAATGGTGGAGGCCAGCAGGTGGATGGGCCATGTGGGCAGCACAGCCTTGTGTTCCCGCGCAGCCTGGATTAATTGCTTTGGGGGGGTGCTGGGGGGGACATTTCTCTGTAGACCATCAAAATTTTCTCATGGACCACCAGTGGTTCGCAGCCCACCGAGATGGCAACCAGTGTTCTAGGGAACTCAAAGGCAATCTAGGAGCCACTGTAGAAGAATGAAGATAAACAAGCCTAACAAAAAACAGTAACTGATTATGCCATTCATACATACATACATACATACATACATACATACATACATACATATATATATATTTTCTTAAGTTTTCACGGGTACTTACATGTATGGTATTCAGCTTTGTTAGGGTATCTTCCCACATCATTATAGTTGTGCTTTTAAAGTTGTAGCAACATTTTGGCAGAATCTCATCTGCCATCATCAGGCTTCTGTACTGTGTTCGAACACAATACAGAACACGAACACAATACAGAAGCCTGATGATGGCAGGTGAGATTCTGCCGAAACGTTGCTACAACTTTAAAAGCACAACTATAATGACGTGGGAAAATACCTGAACAAAACTGATTTATTTATTTATTTATTTATTTTTATATATATTTATTTCCAAAGTAAATCAGAAAATCCCTGAATTCAGAACACAATACCACATATATATTACAATTTTAAAAACTGCATGAAATATATAACACAAATCCAAGTGGAATGTACTTCCATGTGAATGTTTTAAATAGATAAAGAATATACAAGAAAAAAAAACTTAACCATAAATCTAACAATACTTTGTATTTGGTACATAATGTACTAGTAAAACTAGTAATTCAAGCTATATCAGAATTATTCTCATAGCTAATGAACAAAAATTCACCAGTTATTTTTCTTCTCTCTAGATAATCAGTATTAATAAAATTCTAATACTCTTATTTTATATCAGTTGATATTTTTCTATGCCTCTTGAAGCTACCATATAACAAAACTAAGAGCAAAAATTGCTCAAACACAAAAAAGTGGAATGATCCATTTTTTTATCCAACTGATCTTTACACTTTCAAAACAATGATTAACTTTTATTCTTAGTGATCCAACAACCTGTTTTTTTGCATAGGCCCATCAAAAGTACTAAGAAATAATATTAAAAGTGTACATGGCTGTATTTTCTATGAAAAAGCACAAATGTCTTAATCTTAATTCCATCGTAGGTTTTTTTGGATACAATGGAGACTGCATCTATTTCTTCAAATACCTTGAGAATTCCCACTCCAAGTAACTTTCCAAACTACCACCATAACATCTCCCTAACCAGTGCCTCTAGGATAAGTCAGGGTATAAAACTAATCCATGTGCCTAAATATTATGCATTCCTTATCAAAGGATGCTCGTTTCCATGCAAAGCATCAACAGAAGCAATTTCCTGTCATGCCATTCCACTAAGCCTTTATCAACTCCAGAACATCAGAGTTTTTCCTGGGTACATATTGGATGGGTTCTAATATCAATGGAAGAGAATTCCAATACCACTAAAGCCAATGGCTTCATTTTGTCCTCCTGACATTTTAAAGTGCTTTAAGAGGCTGTTCAACTATAAGGCTAAAAGTGTCCTGTTTTTTTATAGCAAGAGTTGGGATGGAGATGAAACCAGAAGGTCTCTGGAAGGCAAACTTCTCCAATTGTCTCCCATAGTGTGGATCAAAATAAATTTTCCAATATGATTCTAGGCCATTTTAAAAATTGGGAGGATTAAGGGTAGGGATACAGAAACAGCTCCCACCCCCACCCAAAATATTAAAGCTAAAATGTGACGCATTGATTTACTATGAAGCATAAATCCAGCCAATGTGATTTGTAAACCACTGTTAATGGCTTTCAGACTATTGTATCTTGTTCAAAAGTACCGTACTCAACAAATTACTGTATTAAGAGAAACAATATATTATGATCTGGGAGACTGACTACTTTTTCCCACTTATGGTCAGCATGGGTGTTTACCTATTTTATAGGGAAACAACCCTCCTTTCTCTTTATTACTTATTATTACACCCATTTCCTTTTCTCAATACAAAATTATGACCGGTATTTTCTACTTTAGATAGAACATTCTTAAATCCCATAGGTTTCTTAGTCAACTCGTACATGATTAGGTCATCATATCTCTTTAGAGACTCCACCTTCTTCTTCATTTCATTTAGTCTTTCTTGCATCAGCATTTTCCTTGTCTATGAATCACAGCAAGAAGTGTGTTCCAAGACCCTATTAAAGCCACAGAATTGCTTTCCTGTTCCTCTATTACTTTGTTCGGTTTCATTACATCACTCCAGTGCCTTTCTTTTTATCAAGATAAATGCCAGAATGCCCTGGTTTTCTTCTGGCCTCAATGTTCCCAGGTCCTTCCCTACCATCTTACCCACAAAACTAAGTAACCTCACGTTTAAAAAAAAAAAAAGCTTTCCCTATTCCTTGTAACAGATTGTGTGCTTAAAAGTATCCCACTATGAAGTATCTTTGCTAAGAGGAATGTTATGAAAAGTACAATGCATACATTCAGACTACATTTTCAAAGAATAGCAATTTAGCTTAGAAACACACTATTGTTTTATACTATTTACCAAAACGATATTAAAACACCCCCAACTTATGACATATATAAAGACATTCCATATACAGTTGACATCACATACCAAACAGAAATGAAAGGATTTACGAATTTACACTGGGAATTTTTTTTACTTAGCATGTGCAAATTATAGTTCTAAATATAATTACAATAGGATTCCTTAGATAATTGTTTATGTTAACAATGTTAATGTTCCATCATTCCCCATGGAGTTTTGAATACAAGAGTTTTCCTCACTTGCAGTATCTATATATCTTCCTTCGGATGAAGGCTAAACCTACAAATAGCACTGGCCCAAATTTCCATGTATTGTAGACCAACAGAACTCTTTTATATCCAATTGTTTTCAAACACTCTACAACCACCATATCCCAAAATGATTCACAGTAAAAATTCAAAGTAATCTGGGATGAATAAATTCTTCCCCTTCAGATACTACATATATTATATATACATAGTTTGACTGGATTGTCCTATGAAGAAGCAAGTGCCTACACTAACTGTTAAATATTGAACTTCCTGGTTTTACACCACTAACTTCACTTCCTTATCAAGAGTGAAAGAATGTGGGAGCATAGACATTGGGAATTGGGCAGAATATAAATTTAATAAAGCAATTTACAGAAAACGTACTGCGGGGTAAATTTATCAATACAGGTAGACCTTGGCTTACGACCACAATTGAGTCCAAAATTTTTGTTGTTAAGTGAGGTGTTAAGTGAATTTTGTCCCATTTTATGACCTTTCTTACCACAGTTAAGTGAATTTCTTAAGTGAACAGTTAAGTGAAGTTGATAAGCTAGCAACCCGGTTAAGTGAATCTGGCTTCCCCACTGGCTTTGTTTGTCAGAAGATTGCAAAAGGTGATCCCATGACCTTGGAACACACAGCAATCCTCATAAATATGAACCAGTTGCCAAGCATCTGAATTTTGATGACCATGGGAATACTGCAAAGGTCATAACTGTGAAAAATGATAAGTCACATTTTTCAGTGCCACTGTAATTTTGAATGGTCACTAAACGAACTGTTGAAAGTCAAGGACTACCTGTACTCCCAATAACCACACAATCTGGTTATCTAAAAGCCATTTAAGAACAACACAATATTTTGCTCTTTGAAAAAAGCCACCCCACTGCCTTTAGTAAGATTCTTTCAAACAGTAAAAACTACACACCTGTGATTTACTTGTGGCCCACAAGCTGCATGTTACATGCTAGCCCTGCCCCTGCCCAGTTTAGGGAAGGGAAAAAAGTCCCAATACATCACCTGACGTGAGTTTGACACCTTTGCTTTACACAATACCTGTTTAAATAGCCAACTGATTGCAAACAGAGTAGGACCAGTATAGATATGGACCAAACCAGAAAACCATGTAACACTATTCCTGAATAAATAGGTTAGACCAGAATCCACGAGTAGTTCTCAGATTCCCTATCTAACATGAGCATGGAAAATAGATTATTGTCTTTGTATGGTGCAATGAGAACAGCAGAGTCTTGGATACTAACAGGATAAACTTGCAGGTTTCATAACCCTCACAAAACGACGCGGCATAAACCTTCACCTTTAATCCAACCTGAACACCCTTCTCATTTTAAGTTGCAATTTTAAAAAGGAACAAAAACATCCAAGTAAGACAAGTTTTAAACAGTTTTAAAAGTTCTCTCACCGACCCTCCCTTATGAAAATAACTCGGGGAGGAAGCAGAGGGACGAATAACCAGGGGAAAGCTCTGGACTAGGAAGGGCTCCTGATTTTGGCTCTCGCCTTGACCACGAATTCTCGGGACCACGAAATCCTTACCGCGAGCCCCATTCACTTACTTCAGCCATCACGGTGCACTTGGGAGGATGTCGGTGAGCCAGCAGGAAGCAGAAGCCGCGGACCCGAACTTTGTATTGTCCCACTCCACTTCCAGGCGCCATTCGTAGGACAAGCCACGCCCTTCACCTGTCTGGGGCACCACCCGCATAGGCCACGCCTCTCTACTCCGCGGCCGTCGCCTCCTCTACGTCACCCCCAACGGCGCCACTCCCACTACGATATAGAGCACCTTTCCAGTATAGCTCTCTTTAGAGTGACCCCCTGGCCTTTATCTTCTCCACATCCCCTCCGTGTCACGGAGCGAGGCTTACCCGCCTAACGGCCGTCTTCTCCGATCCGCTTCCACTCCGCTCTTCACCACCGAAACGAACCGTCCCAACCGTCCGCCATTCCACGGCTTTCCCCCCTCAGCTTCCCCTCACCGATCGTAGTTCCACCTACTCCACCGGTCCGTTTTCTCATTGGCTGTCGGGCGTCTTCCCGCTCTCGCTGGATTGGCCGACTTCCTCTGTCTGTCAAACGTTACCCGACGCGATTTGCGTAGCCAGCCAACTTCCTTTTTTTCTTTCAGCGACCACACCCTACGAAACCTTTTTTAAAAAAAAAAGAAAAAAGAAAAAACGTAAACAATTTGGGCCGTACCATATTTTGAGACTAGCAGGGGGGATTCATGTGGAGAGAAGAGTTTCGGACAAGGGGTGACAGTAGGCTTCGAAAAGAAGGGATCGTCGCATGTCGTCACTAAAAGAGAAAAAGAAGGCATTACTGGCGCTCTGCCTTCTCATCAATTGATTACATTCTCAAAAGTCCCCTGTTTTGGTTTACTCTCCCTTTATTCTGTTTCGCTAGGCCGGTCTGCTCTATGGTCCTAAGGTTGGAGGGGAAAAGGTTGAGTTCCCTGGCGTTTGGGAGGTATTATTGCAGTACCGGAAAGTTTGGGGAGTTCCAGATTGGAAAAAAAACGGAGAAGTGACGAGAGGATTGGGGCGGGGGTGGGGGTGGGGGTTAGGCTTTTTCACACGTTACGCAGCAGCATTGTCATTGGGGGCTGTTATTTTATATATGTGTGTGTGTATAAAATCATTGTTAATCATTTGTTTGACTATTACTATTTTCCCATCATTTTATGCGAGATATTCATTTTAATTTAATTTATATTCTAACATTCATTTAAATCGTCATAAATCCATCCAATAATAATATATCCTTTAAGTTATATTTCTTCGTACCATTTCTGAGACGGCTCGTTGCCGGAAAGCAGCCAACCTCAATTTAGTGCCCCTCCCCTTGTACGAACTACGACTCCCAGAATTCCCAGTGCGCCGAGCAAACACACGCGTCATTGGCTTGGAATTCGGGGAGTTGTAGTCTTAACACGGATTGAGGTGGTTCCGCAGGTTGGTAGGTCTTACTTTAAGAATGGCAAACTTTGTTCTTTTTTTCCCCTCATCCCATCTGCATGTATTTAGGAACGCTAATTTATTGTCTCAGTTTGGTTGGGGGGGGGGGGAAATCCCTAATCAAATGGAGTGGCTTAAGCTACAAGCACACACACACACACACACACACACACACACACACACACACACACACACA